ACCACTAAGGCGCGGACGGTCCCTGCGTGGGTGCGAGCCGCGACCGAGCGGGACGTGCCCTACAAGTTGAGCGGCTCCGCTGACACGGGGGGAGCGGGTGCAGCGCCGGCTGCCCAACCTCGGGCTTTAAACCCGGGCGCGGTTTTGGAGGACTCCTCTAAAGTGGCGAATTAACGTGGCAAACACTGGAAAATAATCTTGTAATACACGGAGTTGAGGTGAATTACTGTGTTTAGCTAAGCGCTCTGGTTTACATACGCTTGGCTTCGCTGTGTTCTCTATTGCACGTGCAGCAAGTAGTTCGGCAAGGCAGCCCTACCGAAGGCACCCACGGGCTGGTGCGTGAAGTGCTCCAGGATCTGTACCAACATCTGTCCTGTGAGAACAGGTTCTGATGTCTATAATGTATTATTTGGTGTTAAATAAAGCAAAATTGCCTTTGTAATGTGCATGTACAACAGGTAGTTAGAAATCGCACAAAACAGTTGGTAAAAATCACGCAAAGTAGCTGCTGATACCAAAAATTTTAAGTACAGCAATACAGCGGGTTCGTAAGGCTATCAGAGGGTCTCATTTCAAGAACACCAATTCACATCTACTCTAAATTGATGCTGGGCAAATATTGGGACCATCTGATTGCAATAGCAGGGTCAGAGTGCAGGTTTTGAACAGCCTCCAGGTCCCAAAGCGTGGCTCGTCTCTGAAGTGACATCCTTTACCTCCCCTCCACACCCCCCAAGAGAGGGAACATCAAAGAGTACCTAAACCCAGGACTGGGGGCAGATGGCTCTGACGGTGCTCCTCTGGTTTGCTTTTTGCAATTTTTTTGAGATGGACGTTGAGAATAAATGTTTCTACCTTCAGTATGGCACTTGTTCACTGTTGTCTCTCCTGCGCCAGCAAAAATTGGGAGTGCTGTGATCTCACCAGTACAAATCTCAGAAGTAAATTTCGAACTGTCTTTCCATGGCTTTAATTCTCAGATCAGTTAAACGGAGACTGAAACTTTTCTGAAAATAGGGCATTCTTCTTTACTATGCCTGTCCTGCTTCTACCAGCAGAAACATATTCACATAGCATCCAGTTACCCTTTGCATACCTAACCAATCACGTTCTAGGTACTATGTGAAATGTATTAAATATTATGCAAAAGTTAAAACTCATTAAAATTCAACTTTGCGGGCCTCGCCGGTCATCCCTTTGGAAAGATCTGTATTTTAATGAATCATGACATGTGGATAAAGGCAGGAGCGGATAGAGTTCCAACTTAGGATTTACTCCTTCTGCATCTGCCAGATTTGCAGAATCTTGAAAAATCATGTAATCTTTCTCTAACATCTCCCTATTTGCAGATGATTGAACTTTATTATCATATAGAAGTGTTGTGTAGGCTATATATTGAAGTGTGGATTCCAGATGCCTATTATAGCAAGTGCGTTATTAATCCATAATCCTGAGAAGATGTATGCGTATGTTGACCTTTCAGCCAAGATTACTCAAAATTAAATGCATGTGTACATCTGTGGGATTGAGGCCAGAGTACTTCTACAAGATAAATGGATGTTACTAGAGAATCGTCAGACAAAAACCACATAATCCATCCTTTCTACAAAAGTCCACCAAAAAAGACAGAACAGAGACATAAAAGAAAATAAACTCATTTTTCTAAATCTTTTTTTTTTGACATGAACAATCTGGGACTCTTGGTGTATCAAGCAAGCCCACCAAAGACTGTATTAATCACATACACCTCGAAACACCAGAGCACATTGTTGAAGTATGGAAGTATGTTTCTGAAATATCACAATTTTAATCTATAGATCTCCAAAAATAGAAAACACATTTTTAACCTTGTTTTAAGACAGAAATTATTCTTATTGAACTATGATTAATTTTACCATTGAAATAGTACTGTATTAATAACAAAAAACCTGTCTCAAATGTAGAAGAACTGGGGAAAAAAAAGGGGGGCGGTAAGATGTGGATGATGAGAATATCCACAGCTGCATTAAATAGGATAAAAACATTTAGAAGCAATATTAAACCCACGTGCTTCAGGACACAGGTTAAGTGCTGGCAGATGAGGGTTAGGGCTCGTTTCCCCTCTGAGCGGGTCATGCTGCAGGTTTCCAGCAGTGCCCGGAGCTGGGCCCTGACCCAGCGCCTGGGGTACGGGACAGGCCAGGACTGCCGCAAGGCTGGGTTTCTTCACAGTCAAAAATACAGGAAAAACCACTTCATGTATTAATGCTGTGAAAAGGGAGTGGTGATTAGAGCGGGTCATGCTGCAGGTTTCCAGCAGTGCCCGGAGCTGGGCCCTGTCAGGCAGCGCTTGGTACGGGACAGGCCAGGACTGCCGCAAGGCTGGGTTTCTTCACAGTCAAAAATACAGGAAAAACCACTTCATGTATTAATGCTGTGAAAAGGGAGTGGTGATTATTGAGAAAGGAGCTAGGCTGAACTGTATTAAAAAAACAAAGAAACAAAAACAACTTTTGCTGGATGTTAATGTAACTTAAATTACTTAAGATCTAATCATGACAATGTGCTGGATCCTGACCTTGTTAGCTTGAAACTAGGAGCTGTCATTTAATTAAACTTGTACTGCAGGGCTCATGCTAAAATAAAGACTATAGTGCTGTGCTTGGGAAGGCTGTATGAAGAAATGGGTTAATTTCACCCCTACTGAGCTTTCGTACATAGTTATTTCCCATTGGATAGAATGGACTGAAATAATCTTTTAAACATTTTTTAAAATCTCTTTCATCACATAAGACCTACTCTTCTATACGTTACCTTGGGTTAAGATGGAAGACTAGATATTTAACCATTTAATTGTTTTATGAAGGAAGCTAAAAACGATTATATGGTTTTTCTAGACACGATGGATCAAAATCTCTCCTCTGCAGAAATTCCACCAACTAAACTTTAAGATCTACTTTAGATGAGATTTGCAGAGATGCTCGCCTTAACCTCCTCGCTGCTTGGGACTGCTGACAAACCTTTATTTGCCTTTTGCAACTGCTACTTCTAATGTGTTGTTTTTAATGCTGGTCTAACATAATTTCCATTTTGTGGTAACCTGATTTGGTTTTGGTACAATAACAGGAACAAATGGAAGTGATGATTTGCATGTGAAGCTGGAAATATGTTTAAGAAAAACTGCTATGCAGAGGGTAGCACCTTTGCATGCTCAGTACCGTATCACATTAATCATATGGTACTCCACGAACCTATTCTTATTCAGTCCTCCTACAGAAAATACAGAAGTACATTTTTAGCAGAAAAAAATTATGAGTATCCTTGTGACAGCGTACAGATTTCTCAGGGCTTTCTGGAAAGAAACTTGGACTTCTGCCACCTGCTCGGATTGTGTTCATGCATAAATGATCCAGAGAATGGGTTGACATTACCTCTAATTAGGGGTAATAACAGCCTGCCGCTGAAGGAGCCAGTTCCCTTTCTCTTGCATGTCATGTCCCTCATTTCTCCTGCATTAGGGCTAGCGTTCATGCAGCCACAGGGTAAGTCAGTTCAGTGACCTGATCCAGCAGAAAACTCGCCCATTAAGAAAAATAAAGTATATTTTTTTCACTAGGTCGATTCACTGAAGCTCTGTAGCCATTTGATGGGTGTAATTACAGGATGGAGAGGAGAGTGGGGTGAAATGAAGGAAGAGTGCAGGACTACACCCTTTTGGTGGCCTTCCACAATTGCACCGATCAGAGGTAACATCAAACCATAGCTTTGAACTCCAGCATGATTTCAGAAGAACTCCCGGAAGCATTTCTAAGAGTTAATTAGGCATGACTGACTCTTTTTGTTTCAGCTAACTCTAGAGTGGCAGTATAGAGGTGTGTAATAATGAGTAATTAGAGTTGGAAATAAAAGAATTTATCCTGTTTAGTTTGTACCTCAGAATGGAGCTGTAAAATGGAACATAAAGGGGAAAAAGGGTACGCTGCTACAGTCCTAATATTTTAGTTGCAGAAGAAGGCTTAACTTATGTTTTCCTATTTAACAAACCATTTTTTTATTTCTGATAGGAAAGGAAATTATTTCAAAGCTACAATGCTGGGGCTTGGAAGCTTAAAATCACACATGGTTTTGGTTTGGAAAAGGGGATGGGATGAGATGAGATTTCTTTACTGATTTGGTCAGTCCTTTTCCGTACTGTTTCCTTGAATGAAATATGAGCTGAACAGTACATCAGTGCGCTATATTGTTACGTCTTTCAAAGTTCTTCCCGATAAACAGGAATAGGAGTGATGGACAGAAGAAAAACAGTGAGTTCAAAGAGTCTCTTTTAATACAATTATTTAGAAAGACACTTGAAGTCCCTTGCAGGTGTGGTTTTTTGTGGTTTGTTTTTTTTTTTTTTTAGAGAAATCTGATTTTAGGGAACAGGTCAAGACCTAGGTATTATTTGTACAGTAGTACTCACCCATGATGTTAACAGTTCAACCGTAATTTTGCACGGAAATGAGAAGGAATAGTGAACAATCAATCTTGGTTATGTACGTAAACATTTTTCATAGCTTATGAGCAGCAATGCAAAATATTTTTAAATGTATGATTCCACAGAAACTAAATGACAGAGACATAAATGTTTGCTTGAGATGTGGAGGACATTTTACATTACTGTTTTTTGATGGTTACCATTTCTCCCGAGTAAAATGCGGTAATGAAATCACAATACGGTTGTTACTCATTGCTTTGCAATGTGGTGCTCAGACTTAGCCTAAGGCATCAGTGAGAGACACAGAAAATGCTGATTGTGGTGATGAGGTCTTCTGTTGGGTTTTTTTTTTAAGAATTAAAATACACTGAACAAAGAGGAGTATTTTAAAATGCTAACATGCTGGACTTTGACTCAAATGGATCCTATACAGTAGTACTGTCGCCCATAAAAGAGAAAGAAGGTGGCAAACACTCCATGGAGTCATTTATACAACAGTAAAGGCTTTTATGGAAAGACTAAGTCAAACTCATTCTTCTACAGAGGTGTTTTAATGCCCCTGTAGATAAAAATCTAACCAGAAGTTGTTTATAACAAGACGATTCCGTTTATTTCCTGAGAAGGGAATGAAATCAGATCTATGTGGTAAGAAATGGTAGTTTCAGGGAATGCCTCTGAAGACTTCAAATCGTTAAGATTTTTTTCTTGGATGCTTCAACTGTCTTTTTTAAAAGAATGCCATGTAAATGAAAAGCATTACGTGACCTGTGTTGGTATACATTGTCATCACCTTTACTGTGCCTAAGTAAATGAACGACCTTGCAAATCAGAGAAAGGTGTGAAGAGAAGAACAAAGCAAAAATGTTAAAGACAATGTGCCGCATTTTTCCTACTTGTAGATAAGGTGGAAAA